GCTATCACCATCAGCAGTTTATAGTTCTGAGGTGTCATTCCACCAGATGATGCAGAACACAACCCTCAGCAGGTTCTTCAGGGTAGGGGGGGGTGGCACGTAGGCAGCAGGTGCCCTGGAAACTCTGGGCTGGCGGGAGCTTTTGCTGCCCTGACAGTTCCTTCCTGCTGCTGTCAGTCAGTCCGGGTGCAATCCCCAGATCTGGGGGCTGAGCCCCGCCACGGCTCCTCCCAGGATGGCTGTGGGACGGGTGCCAGCGATCTGCCCTCTGTGCCGTGGGGGGAGGCAGAGCCCCTGAAGCATGGGGAGAGGCCCTGTCCTGGGTCTGGGAACCCTGGGCGTGCTGTGGCTGTGTGCGTGTGTGGGAGGGAAGGACAGGGAAATCCCAGAGGCTGAGAGGCTTTGCTTAAAGCCGCCTTCTTCCAAATGTTTCCGTTTTGCCCCGAGACAAGTTTGTGCTGGAAAAAGACACTCCCTGGGAGGTGTTCATGCTAGGACCTGCAACCCCCACTGTGGGAAGGGAAGCTTGGGAGTCCCCCAGCAGAAAGAGGGGAGTGGTGGGGAGAGGCTGAGCCCACCCTTGCTTAGGCCTTCCACTCCTCTACCCTCTCAGACTAATGACACTTGGATGGAATTTAAACACCTCCCCCGGAGAGACAGAGCATCCCTCTTGTTTGGGGATCCCCACTCTTCCAGGCAGGAGGATTTTTCTCAGGTGTAATCCCAATTCCTTACGTTGCCCAGGCAGCTGTCACCTGACCAGGGTGAAAATGCCGCTCCTGGAAGGTGCACCGGTCAAGGCGCTTCTACAGCCTTGCTGGCCACTGCTGTGTGCCCAGCACCGCGTTTAGCTGCTGGGATGGCTGGGGCCCAGCTGGGTGCCTTCCAGCAGACACAGCGATCCTGTTCCCTGGTCTGTTCGCAGGGCTGCTTCGGAGGCCATTTTCCCCCAGTCCAAGCCCTGGTGGAGAGCAGCAGTGGCGGGTGCACTGGGGCCACTGAGAGGACTGGGGTGAGGAAGGGATCCTGGCCAGACAAGGGGCCGTTGGGGCAGGGCAGAGGGGACCTGAGGGAGGAGGAGGTGGGGCTGGGAAGGGCCTCGTGGGGAGAAGGGAGGTCCTGGTGAGGAGAGGAACAAAGAAATAGGAGACATTCTGGGGAGACAGACACGGAAACAAGGAGCTTCATTCTGGGTACTTCCACTGTCCCCAGGCCCCTTTGGGCTGTTCCCGTCCTGTCTTCACAGGGGTGCTCTGGAAGAGGCCAGGATTTGGATTCCCGAGGCCCAGAGGGATGCAGCGAAACTCAGACATCAGGCAGACGACAGTCTCGCAGATCCTGTCTGTATCCCAGCACCCTCCCTGCACAGGGCTGGCCCTGGGTGCAGGTGCCTAGGTGAATGGAATGTGAACCACCGGGCCACCACCAGGAGGCACTTTTGTCCCATCTGCCTTGAGTCAGCTCCTAGTGGGGGGAGGGAGGAAGAATGGGGGTGGTGCTGCACAACACTGAGGGGGACTGCATGGTGGGCAGTCTGGAGGGGGATGGCCCACGCCTCCGGGCTCCCTTCCAGGACAGAGCTTGGGTCTCCCACCACTGGGGCCAGTTTTGCCTCGTGGACTGTTCAGATAGCCTCCTCTCTCCCTGGGCCTCTGCCCTCTGAAAGGGAAATCCCAAAGGGACGGTAGGCATGTGGGAGCCCACCTCACAGTGAGGGTGGGGAACCCGTCCCCTCCTTTATTCTGGTGGGGTGTTTCCTGGGCCTCAGGGAGCCATCTGTGAGCTGGAGGTGGGTGGTGTCAGCAAGTTGCTTCTTAGCAGGGCTCTAGGGCCTGGCCCATAGTGCCGGGGCTGCAAGTGGGTACGGATGCTGGGAGGCCTTGCTCTTGCGTGCCCGACTGCCTGCCCCCTGTGCGGATGTCCTGCTCTCCTGACTCTCACCGGCTCACGCACGGTGCGCTCTGGCTCACAGTTGCCAGGCCCTTGGCCTGGAACTGCCACCGGGCTTTCTTCCCCTGAGTCCTACTTCCCTTCAGGGTCCAGTTTGCCTGCCCTCCTCCTGGGGACCATCCCGAAGCCTGGGGCTGGGTGGGACCCTCAGTTATGACCCCCTCCAGAGCAGTTCTCACATGTGTAATCTCCCGTTCCAGGTCTCTATGCCCTGCTAGGCTGTACGCCCTGGGAGGCACGGACTGGGGCCAGGGCCTCATTAAAAAAACCAAAGAGCTCGATGGAGATATAATTCACATACCATGGAATCCACTCACTTAAAAATACACAGTGTGGTGGTATATATGCTCAGACTCACGAAACTGTCACCATTGCCAAATTTGGAACATTTCACCACCTCAAAAGGAAGCATTTAGCTATCACCCCCCGCCCCCCATCTTCTCCTCCCTCCAGCCCTAAGCAACCACTAGTTGGCTTTCTGTCTCTATAGATTTCCCTATTCTGGACTTCCATAGGAATGAAGTAATAGAACATGTGGTCTTTGGGGCGCCTGGGTGGCTCAGTCGGCTAAGCGTCCGACTTCAGCTCAGGTCATGATCTCACAGTTCGTGGGTTCGA